TGGGAAGCGCGGCGGCGCTCCCGCCGAGGGTTCGGATCCCACATACAGACCGGCCGCTCACTGGCTGAGTGAGATGCGGGGGCAACACCGAGGGTTGCGATCCCATTGCCGGTCCTGGTCCGCTACGGGCGCGACACTGAGGGTTGCGATCCATTGCCGGTCACGAAAAAAGACAAAAAGGGAAAAAAATAAATAAATAAAATAAAGTCTTGCAATTTGATTTCCAAAAAATATATACGGAGTTTTAGGATGGAAAGAACTGGTGTGATGGTAGTTCACATGACTGAGTCGTTTTAAAGAATGCCAGACTCAATATTTGAAATTTGTTAAAAAGAATAATTAAATGCATTAGTGGAAGTAGTTCTTCTATAATATAAGTACCGTTATTTTGCAGTGGTACCATTTTGTGGGGAGCAGACCACATCTGCAGAATTCTGCCTAGTTCTGGGTGCCAAAACCAGATGTTGAGAATTCTGACATTTGCAAGCATAGAAAATTCAGAGCAGGGGATTCAGGATGACAGTGAGGTGTTTAACTCAAGAATAGCTGAGACTACACTACATGTTCCTGTAAGGCAAATCTGGATAACTTTTAAAGTGTCTGCCATATTTAAGAAGGTATGATATTTGATGATAGAAGAAATTAATTGGAAAAAAGGGCCTCTTAATTGTGGAGACTAGGAAGAGATCGGTTAGGACCATAGGACTGAAGTGTTTTCAAGGTGATCCAACAAAAATAATGTTCCAGTTTGAATGTGTAGATATGTATTTGTCAAGGACAACTGTAGAGTTGAGAATAAGGGGATCCACTTTATAGTATGGTGTATGTTTTACATTTCCATATTTTTCTCCATCTTCCTTTCCTTTTATTTTTCTGATTTATGAGGGAACGATACTATTCCGGTCTGCATGCTTCTTTGCACTTACACATGTCTGTATCTTCCTACAGTGAATTGCATTACAATCTATAATGTATTTATCTGTGCATATATAGCTTACAACGTTTGAACTGCTTGCTAGTAGGGTCCCTTTCTTGTTATGATTTTGCCAGTATCTAGCACTATTTCCTACACCCTAGGATACTCAGACAATGTTGAATTGAATGTTATAAGACAATTCTAAAACCAGAAATGTAGGTCAGCATTGAGCTTTTACTGCTGTAATAGCATTCAAACTTCTTTTCTCACATCTACTCTCCCCCTCTTTTTATCCTTAGTCCAGTCAGAATAATTAAAAAAAAAAAAATCTAATCTAATCATACCATGTAGTCCTTAAGACACATTTGTTCTTGGGCCTAGGGGTTCTGAGTTGTGCCTGCATCTCCAACCTTCTCTCCCTCCTCTTTCCTTGTCTCCCAGCCATGTGGGCTCAAACCTCTGCTCACTGTGTTCCCTGTGCCAAGAAGGTTCTTCTGTGTCACATCTCCAACCCTCCCAGCCTCAGCCTGCAGTTATCCTCACTTAAGTTTTCCTTGTCTCCATTAATATATATCTTGATAAGATAACGTTTCCCTCTTTTGGAATAATTACCACAGTTTTACTTTTAAATATATTTATTTTTATTATTTGATTAATATGTGTCTATTCCATTTAATCATAATGTCTGTGAGGAAATATATCTGCTTCTATAAGCAGCCTTATATCATCATATTGAGTGCATATAATAAATGTTTAACATATTTTTTGTTAAATGGATATATAAATTCATGAACAAGCACCATAGAAGTGTCACATGACTAGACTTCAACTAGACCTAAATCTTTTCTTCTGTCCCCATTCAGCAGTATAGTCCGTATGACAAACAGGGCAAATGATAAAACCTCTTAAAATATATAATTTTGTACTTACTCAGGCATAAAATATTCTTCTTAATACAGGAATTATCTCCATAGTCCCTGAAGAGCAGTTAATACTTGTTCTGTGTAAAGGTTAAAAATTATTTTTTATAAGTGCTCAAGTTGCTAGAAATTAATAATCTCCCATGTCATTGAAACGTTAAATCATCTAACCTTCCAAAACGCTTCACATTTTCTTTAACTTCAAACAAGATTGGGAAATGGTACGAACATTGTAAGGTATTAGTGTTCTTGTTGTGTATCCTACCTGTGGACGGATATACCCATGGGCACGCTAGGTTTCACATTTACTGAAGACTTGAGCATCAAAAGGCAAGTTTGTCAGTAACATTAAATACATTTACAATAGAATATACATATATGTATGACAAAATTCTCTGTAATTATATGAAGGAAAGGACTGAGAATTTTGAAATGTTTTGCCTACTTAGACATTGAATTAAATTAAAAGAGCTTTAATTATTCCATAACGCTTCCTCTCTTCACACCGTCCCTCACCCTTATGCTCATCATTCCTTACACCTGCTCTCAGTTGAACATTTCTCCCCTTCAGTTTTGCTATTCACTGTGTGTAAGAGGTTTCTCGCCGTAACCCGCCTGCCCCTGAGTACCCATCACTACTCTCTTGTTTCTCAATTGCCTTCTATGAAGACACTACCTTGTAGTGTTACAGAAAGTGCAGAGGCTTTGAAGGCAGCCTGGGATGGAGTAGGCCTCACCCCTTGTTACTGCATTTAAGTGCAGTGACCATACACATCTTTCTGCATGTCTCACATGCAGAAGACAGCTGTCCAATGGGAGAATACCTACCCCAGAGGACAGTCGTGAAGGCCACATGATGTGTCCTGTGTGCAGACCCTCTCTCACTTTTCGCCTTACCACCTTTTCTGTCTTCCATTTAATGATTGGTACACATGCCCACCTATATATTTGGTACATCTTCTACTTTGTATGTTACCTAATCTTGCTCTTTTTTTTTTCTTTGGTTAAAAGAAAACACAATATGTTCAAGTGCTGTGCTCATGGAATCTCTAATTAACATTCTTCTTAGGCCAGAAGATAAAAACAAAAAAACAAACAAAAAACACTCTATAATGCACCTATAAGTGCCTGAAATTATACTAACTCCTCGTACATTATTTCCAAATTTCTTTATCTCATTAATCCACCCGGTGAACACTGAGGTTGGCTGTTATTATCATATATAGCTAGGATCAGTTAAAGTTACTTGCCCAAAAATCACACAGCTAATATGGGAACAGACTGAACTTCTATCCAAGGCCTTCACACCAGAGCAGAAAGTCCTTCTGTTGTAGATTTCTGGCATGAATCTTGAAAACCACGGGATTTGAAGTTGTAAAAATGCTGATTCTCAGGAAGGGATGATCCACTTTTCAAGGAAGGAAGGTGGGTACCAGACTACTTATGGGAACAGAAAGATAGGCAAACAACAGCTTTTGAACTATATATCTGGCATTTTGAAGAAGCCAGTTGAGAGCATTCAATGCAGTTATAGCGAATAGGTATATATGTGACTTTGTGACATGCGAAGATAGCTAGAAAGGCTCAGAAATGTATCTCAGTTTCTAACTGTCGGCTGTCTATAAAATATAAAGCTTACGGAGTGAACAATAGGCCAGGGTCAAATAGGAAAAGAAAGGAAAGTGTAACAAAAAACAATTATTTTCACAACTATATCTTAAGATCTTCAGTAAGAATTTCTTCATTACTCACATTCCTGTTAATGATAGAAAAGCAGATAGCAGATGCATATTTAGAAAAGTGTATAATTTTTTATCAAAGATAGAAATTTATTTTATTTTAAATTAAATAAGTATTTAGACTTTTGGTTTTTGAAAATAGACTAAGGTGGAGGATAGAGTACGTCTCACCCCCAGTTACTGCAGTTAATTACACTGAATTGCATCGATGTCCTTCTTGGTTTTATATTTCTATTTTTAAGTGTATTCTTAATGCCAAAGTAAAATCTTTACAAATTATTTTGAATATAAATATTCCAAAGTCCTTTTAAAAAATATGGTGGAAGTTACATACCCCAAACAGTAATCCACTTAGTGTATATTTTGGACCTTTTAGACCTTCTAAATAAACTTAAGCCAATACAATAAAAATTGTTAAAATGTATTATTTGTAAATAGAACATTAAAAATAATTCATTAATTTATATATGTTTGAATTCCAAAATTCAAGAACAGCCTCTCTACTTTATTTAACTTAATTCAGGGAGCCATGAGGTCTAATATATTCCCAGCTCCAGGTGCTTCAGTCACTCAGAAGCCAGAGCAGTCCCCTTCTCGTTAGTGTATTCTTATTGAAAACACACATAATGTATTCAGTTTGTTTAAGCCTAAAGAATAGCCAGTGTAGTCGTTCTCCTTTGCTTTCCAGTGCAGCCACACGCTTCATGATTTCAATATTGGTTTTGATATAGGAAGAAAAATTTCTGACTTTAAACAGGTGATTTATTTCTTAAATCTATCCTAGGCGGATGCTGAAAATCGCACAACCTGTATTCTGTCTTTAGGTATAATGCATGAAGACCAAGTTCAGTATTTCATACATGAAAGTAGGACTCAATTTATTATAGAGAAGCTTTTAATCTTTGTAAACGGCCTGACGTGCTGAATTTTATTTAACAGCTGAGTTTCACAGACAAGGACTCAGCATTTCTTCAAAGAACCTGACCAAATGCTGTAATCCATTTCCTTCTGAAATCGCAGTTGTTAAATTAGACACAAACGTTTATGAATGTCACTTTGTCTTTCCAGCAATTAAGGAGTTCAAAAAAATCCCTTTGTGTTTCATGGCTTTGAAATTAGTATATGAATTCCGAACTGGCCCTTCAATTTGTTCTGTCAAATACTTTGGAAGTTACGTTAAAGAGAAAGACATCAATTTTAAACAGGTGTGGAAAAGAGTTTCTTGATGTATAAAAGTGTTCTATTTCAATGCTATTTTAGTGATTTTAACACATCTACTGCTGTGAATTCCCATGTAAGCAGGCAGCCAATTTATTTCCCTTTAAAGGTGAGGCAATCTGAGTCGACATCATAGGCCTAATTGCACCATGGTGAGGGTCAGTTGGTGAGTTTGCTGAAACTTTCCCTTTGCTGTCTCTGTTTCAGTGTTGATCCTCCTTATCATCACTATGCGAAGACGGAAAAAAGAGCCCCTCATTTTTGATGAAGAGAGAGATATCAGAGAAAACATCGTTAGATATGATGACGAGGGTGGGGGAGAGGAGGACACAGAAGCTTTTGACATGGCTGCGCTGAGAAACCTCAATGTCATCCGAGACACCAAGACCCGGAGGGATGTGACTCCAGAAATTCAGTTCTTGAGTCGACCGACTTTTAAAAGCATCCCAGACAATGTCATTTTTAGGGAATTTATTTGGGAAAGACTAAAAGAAGCTGATGTGGATCCTGGTGCACCCCCTTACGATTCTTTGCAGACGTATGCATTTGAAGGAAATGGCTCCGTGGCAGAATCTCTCAGCTCTTTAGATTCCATCAGCTCAAACTCTGATCAGAACTATGACTACCTAAGTGACTGGGGGCCTCGTTTTAAACGACTTGCAGACATGTATGGAACTGGCCAAGAGAGTTTGTACTCATAGCCTTGGAACCTTAATATGAAATGTACTGAAGGGAAAAAAGAACAGCAAAAAACACCACATACAGAAAACAAAAACTCCACTTGCTAGAGAAAAATGGTTGTAAATATTTCTCCATTTTTATCTATTTAGGTTTCTGCCTTGATGAAGCTTATCTTCATTAGACTTAGCCAAGGGACTGCACTGACCACAGACTCTGAGCATTTGAAGGTTTTTTGATAAAAAGAAATGCTCTATTTAGGTTTCTGCCTTGATGAAGCTTATCTTCATTAGACTTATCCAAGGGACTGCACTGACCACAGACTCTGAGCATTTGAAGGTTTTTTGATAAAAAGAAATGCTCAGTGGTTTGTGAATAGATAGCAACTCTCATATACCTGCAAAGGCACCTAACCTCTATGAGTAAGTAGTGCCCTGTGTTGTCAAGGATGTGAGCCAAGGATCCCCTGCACATACCTTCACGGTATTGTCAATGGGAGAAATAGAACGTGATGCACCATTGAGAAGTCCTGGAACTTCTAGCATATCAAAACGTGGACACAGTTAATTTACAGCAATGCTTTCAGCTTGCTATATTATAAAATCCAGCAGAATATTTTTTGCTGTTGGTTAGCAAAAATATTTTATTTAGTGATATATAAATTTTCAGAAAATCCTTTCCAAATGAAAAACCTCCAATAAAAGCCAGTAAAATTTGTTTTAAGTCAACACAAACCATTGTTTATCCAATAAATCATGAAGTGTTCCAAAAAGAAAAAGGTAAATAATTTTTAAAGTTTGCAGTAGTTTTGAGATGGTTGTGTAGGTATGATAAAAAAAAAAAGTTGCTGTCTATTCGTTGATTTTTATTATGTCTTCTGATTTGTACAGGAGAATATCTTTTCTTTTTTTTATTTGACACATGGTGTTATATTTATGTTGGAGCTCCAATCTCCACTAAGTTCAGGTCCATCTTACTGCCTCGTAGTATTAAACTCATCAGAACATGCCGATTTTTCTCCAGCCTGAGCCACATGAAGGAAATGAAGCATGGAAATGGAGAAATAATAGTAAAGCGATTGAGCCCTGTTGCAGTTCACATCTTAAAGAGGAGCACAGCTACAAGGACATATAAATTGTTCTTCTGAGCCATTAGAATGTCAAAACATTGAAATAAAATAGTTGTATTTTAGAAAGACTTCAGAAAGAATTGAGATTTTCTCTGATGCGAGATTTATTTTTCAAGGTCATGAGTTCTGTATGCTCCAAAGACTTTCAAGAATCTGTTTCCTGACCTCTCCTGTAAACATATTGAGTAAAAGACTGATTCTTTTAATATCTTAAAAATATAATGTTATAAATTTCAAAACTTATCTTTAAATTCTGCAACAAACCTGTCCTTCCAGAATGAATCAAGCAATGTATAATTTCTATAGTGCCAAAGTGAGAAGGAACATTGAAAATCACCATGTGTTTAAGTTTGAAATGGGCTTCTTAGAATAAGAGCATCTTTATGACCATATTAATGTTTCTATCTATTATTTTTTCTGATTAATGCTAGATTAATTGCATATATTCAAATAAGAATGGATTTCTTTTTTTTCTTCTTTTCTCCTTTTAAGAATAATTCATTGTTCAGTTCCTAATGAATCTACAGAGAGTGGACACTGTGTAGGAAATTGTGCTCTAAAAGTGTTTCTTTCTAAAAGACAGACACTGGAACTAGGGGATTAATATGTTGATTAAATGAAAAGAAACTATGTAGTACTATGTAAACTTGCAGCCCACCTTTAGAAGTGAAGTATGTGAAAGTGGCCTTCAGCTTCATGAAAATAAGTAATTCAACAAATTTGATTATCTGCAATTAGTCCTTTAATTTGAACAAAGTTTTGTAGACATCATTTCGTGACTAGATAGATAGGCTTCTTGCTGTATCAAATGCATACATATGAAAAATCAATTTTATAACAGAGTAAAAGATATTGTTCATGACTTTGTCATACATGCAAGTTTTTTAAATAAAAAAAAATAGTATCCTCACCCAGTTCAATAAAATTAAAGTATGATGCAGAATTATATAGATGTTAAATCAGCAATATGCTGAAGAAACAGTTTTGTAATAATCCCCTTGTTGTCTGCAAGAAGATAAAGTAGTGTGGTACATTTGGATTAAAATGTCAAAACTGCTGATTGTTGCACATATCACTAAATGAAGGTTTGGATGTATTTTAGAAAAGGAATATCACATCATTCACCTTGTTTTCTCTCCTCTCAAAGTATATGTATTCTCTCTTTTGAATTTTTTTTCATATTTACCAGTAATAGATTGGGAAAATAAAGGCTCAAATTTAAATAATGATATGAAATTCTTTCATATACCCAATTACTATTTATGTGTGGAAAATTATATCAATACGATATTGAAGTAGATTCAACAGTATTTTTTTAAAAATCGTTTGAGATGGCTGGAAGAATATCTCTAATACAGACAGAATTTATATGAAGTACTCTAAGCTTAATTGTAATGGTGGTGGATTTGTTGTTTTTATTTTAGTTTTCTTTTTTTTCTTCTGAAATCTAATGCTATTTGTGATTGTCTGACATAATACTTGAGAAATAGGCCTTGTTTTAAAACCAGAGGCTGAAACAATTGATAAATTTAATCATAAAGCTATTTAGAAAATTCTCCAAAAGTAATTTATATTAGAATGTATCATATAGTCATTTAAATTCAATGTTGAAATGCAACCAGCTAGAACCAGCTCTCAAGAACCAGTTATGCACATCTCTTTCCAACTCCACTTAAGTGATATCATTTTGGTAAGTTTATGTCAGCCGTGGTGGGAATATTTAGACCAATGTGGTAATCTGCAGATACCACTCTTTTTTCCCAAAGAACCAGACGTTAAACCCTCACCAGCACTCCACTGCTTAAAATACTCATATTTGTAAATTAGCGTGAATGAATAGAATATTTAATGATGATGTGATAGGAACTTATGCTATATTTTACTACTAAATATAGACGCATGTGGCAGTGATATCCTGATATCAAATGAAGGGAGAGGATCACTGCATTATGGGGAGCGATGACTTAACAATTTCAGACAATAGTTCAGGAAGTCAATACATTTAAATATTTTCCATTTATCCTCACAGGAGCACTGATAGAAACTCAAGTTGTGAAAAATAATGCCTGTTTTGGACAATTTTGTTTTTTAAAGGATTAGCTGCATTTCACTCATCACTGTCCATGTCAAGGAAATACTTCCAAGCCCCTATTTTGAATTATTATTGTTGCATAAGTTTAAATCAGCATAAAATATAAGAAAACCAAATCTTGTCAAGAAAGTGGACTTTCACAATCAAGCCTAAATTATCATCAGTCTCAATGTACAGATCATTCTCTCTATTAAAACAATATTCAAAAATCAGCTATAGACCAAAATCAGGAAAGATACATCAAAAAACAGGCATGTGGAGGCAATGAGTAGATCCTTCTACAAGCAATTACTAGATGGACCTGGTCAACTTTTTCCTTTGCGGTGAGGCTCCACTGAGGCTGACTGCAGTTGAGGTTAGATAACTACAATGTACACGCAGGAAATAATAGTGTTTAAATGATAATGGCTGCCTTTTCACTCTGCCCTCTGAAAACGTTTTAAATTATTTTAACAACATGCACAATTACATTTACTACATTGGATGATAAGCCGACATAGGCAATTATTTTCATGTAAACTGTAAAGTTGTACAAGGTATGAGTGACATTTGTGATATGACCCACATGCCCAAAGAAATTTAAATGCAAATAGAGTGCTAGCATTTATATTCAAATGTAAAATTTAAAGAAGCTTAACATAAACTACGTTAAATATATATTGCAAGAGGCAAAACAGTTTAGTTTAAATATTTTAAAGTATTTAAGCACTAGCTGTAAATATTAATATTCAAATTTTCAATTTTAATTTGACATCTATTGACTTACAAACTTTTAATTACTCTAATTGTTTTTAAAGTCACTATTTAAAGGCTTATTTAGGGTTGATCTAATTAAATTAAACGTGATTAAAGCTTCAATTTACTCTTTTAACTCTTTTATTCAGAGATGGCTGGAGGTGGGTGGAATATATATGACAATTAAAAAATAAACCAATTTATTTTCTGTTACTCTATATTTATTTGATTTTAAATACGCAGTCAGTTATTTTTTAATTGTCAGTAATATATATTGTGTGTATATATGATAGCATATGAAAATTTGGCAAGGAATCTAGTCAGCAGACTAGATAAAATAAAAAGCAAGAAAGGAGGAATAACATTTGCATTTTTAATGTAATTGAAATTGTTTCAGGTGAGTGGGATATGGTAACTTCTACTGGCTCAGAATTTAACCGAAGAGGATGTGTCTGTGTGTGTGTTTGTGTATGCATGATTGGGGACGTTCAGAAGTATGTCTGAAGCAACCTTAAAAAAATGAGTCTAATATCACCTGGTTAATGCCAGTATATTACTGTCATTTGCCAAGTGACTGTAATGCAATAAGAGTAGCAAGTCTGGTACTGGCTGATTGGAGAAATGTTTTATTTGCTTTAACTATCTAATTCAGCTTACATTAGGAGAAGGATTTTATTAGCTAAGGGAAGAGCATTTAACTGAACTGTCTGTATAATTACCACGTTTTATTTTTATTGTGTAGATGCGACCTCATTGTTAACACAGAATATGAACTGTGAATTATTATGGAATGTCACTGTGTTTCGGCTTCTTGAGTATCAGTGTGGTATGTTAGGAATTACCTCTGGTCTGTGGTTATAACATTTAGGTCAGAAGCTCAATTTCAGAATATTTTTGCTTTGACCTGGATGCCATTCTAATTTTCTGAACTTCTATATTTTCATAATCACAATTGAGTTAATGACTGTTCCGTTTCAGAGGCTTGTGAGATGATTGAGTGAAAGTACTGTGTAAACTCCAGTAAAAATTAAGGCTTTATTATGGAAAATTATGGAAATTATGTGAAAAGGTTGATTATATTTATTGTTATATGATAAACACAGATAATGTCTGTTTTGAAAATTATGCATTAAGGAAAAAAACATGCAATTAGTATCCTAAATTGGAAAGGAACATTCAAAGAGGCAATTGGCATAATTAATTGAAACCACTAGTTAAAAACAGTCATAAGGTCTTAAAAAGTTTGGGTCTAACTAAACCTAATTCAATTGTTTATAAGAATTA